AAAAAAAAACAGGTGGCAGAGATAACACAATCTCTGCAGCTTGCTCTGCCTTCACGTAGATAAACTTACCTGCTATTTAAACTTTAGTTCAGTCCTGCTGTTTGACTTTGGGTGCTGATGGACCTGTGGTTTGATATGCGTTAATCACATCCTAGTAGCTGAGTGGGCATGGGAGGTGCGAAGGAGTGTAAGCTGACTCTCCCTTCTTGAGGGATGCAGCCTGGAGGAGGGAAGGTGTGGGGCAGTGCAGGGCAGCCTCTGCCCTCACTTGGCAGTAAGCTTGGCTCCAGCTGGCAGGGAAGGGGGCAGAGGGAGGGGAGTGGTGTGGCCCTGGGGAGGGAGGGAGGACTTCAGAACAGCCACCAGCAGGATGTCCTTGCCACAGACTTCAAGTGTAGTGTGGCGGTGGTGGAAGGGACAAGCCTGGCCTCTCTGACCTTGCAGATGAGCATGGACTAGCCAGTGGTGGCTCACCTTTTACAGCTTTTTCTTTCTTTAATTCATTCATTTTATTGGTACATTTTATGTATGCAATATGATGACATTCATCATTGGGAACCTGTACTTTTACATGATGTATCTTGGTTCTTATTTTGTTCCCCTTCCCCTGCTCTCCCTTCAACCCCTCCACTGCTCCCTATTTACAAAGACTTTGTTTCCATTTCTTCCTTTTCTCCTATTTTTTCCTGTCCCTTTTTTCCTTTCTCCTAGCCCTTCCACTTCCCCTTCCCCTTTAGACCTTTTCTTCCTGTTTCACATTATCTATTATACATTTTGATCCTTATTTACACTTTTAGGTTCTCACAGCAGAGAAACTATTTGGTATTTACACATGTGTGTCTTATTTATTTAACTTAAGAGTATGTCCTCAATATGCATCCATTTAGCTCTAAATGACTCTATTTTCTCATTCTATATGGCTGAGTAGTACTCCTTTTATTAAAAAAAAACCCTCACATCTTCTTAATCCATTCCCCTTTTAATCTTTCAATGATACAAACAGCCCACTGGGGCACAAGTTCTATAGGTTCACCACCACTGGACTAGGCCAAGACACAGCTGCTATGGGCCTAGAGCCTGTGGCCTGGTTGGAAGGAGAGTGAGTATGCTTTGGGGAAGGGTTCAGGGTTGATCTTGGCAATTCCAGCACCTTGAGGTTAGAGCTCAGCAGAAGTCATTGTTCAAGTAATTGTGTATGCTGAACCTTGTTGGATTTGTCCTGTCTCACAGGTAAGGTGCTCAAGGTCCTACTTTGCCCAGGATTTTAACACTGAAGGTATCATGTGCCAGGGACCCTCAGCTGTGGGCAAAACTCTGCCCTGCCTGCACATTCTTTGGAAACATACAAAATCATGTGTGAGCTTTTCGAGGGTTAATTAGGTCATTACCAGCATATCATTCAGTCAGGGTTTACTAGGGAAACATATAACACAAGACATACCAATATATAAGAATTTACAAGATTGGCTCACAATGGCTGCCCACAGAGTCAGATGTGGAATAGTGCAGGGGGTCTGTCTGAACTCTGGAGACTGAAGTATTCAGTCAGAGGTCTGGAGCTCACTGCAGTGTCCTGTGGGAGTCCTGTGAATCAGGAGGCTGATGGGCCTGTGATGGAGGCCGAAGGGTCTACAGAGGAAGCTAAGCGGTCTGCCCTGGAAGCAGGAGATGATGTCCAAGGTGAAGGGGACGACTGGAGCTCCTCCAAAGAAACAGAAGCAGATCTGCCCCTCTTCATTTCCCCATTTCTTTTCATTACCACCCAGGTGACAAGACACTCTAGGGTGGGTCCTCCACAGTCTCGGGTGTGGAATTGCTGAGCCAGTTTAGTTGAGATTCCCTTAATCAAACTGATGCAATCCATCAACCATCACAACCAGTCTGTAGACTGGTAGGACAGAACTGATGCACAGAGTGGAACTTCCAGGGAGTGTGACTGCACATGCATGTGCACCCATGTGCATGGGCATATATGGATGTGTATACATGTACATGTGTGTCTCTGCTTTTATTTTGGAAAATTAACTTGTTGCCAGGATTCTCTATCTCAAGAAAACCCCACAGGTAAAAAAGAAGCCTTTCTCCTTTGCAAAGGGCAAAGCGGGATGCGTGTATCGCATTTAATGCATGTAAATTTAGTATATTGCTCTCAAGCTTACTGCTAACAGGCTGACTTAAACTTTATAGAAAGAATTGATGGCTAGTGGTGCATTACATCCTACCATAGAAACTCACACATTAATAATTGTTTCCTTGGCCCAGAGATTTAGCTCAGTGGTTCCACCACCTGCCTTGCACACTCAAGGACCCAAGTTTGATCCCAGTACCAAAAAGAAAAATGTTTCCTTTATTTCATACATACTGAATCATGTTCTTCAGAGGAAGATCTCAAATTCAGAGCTTAGAGTATCTAGTCACCAAAGAATATCAGAAATGATTAACTGAAAATTTCTTTTTTGGCTCTAGGAATTTGAAGGTTATGTTAATGCTTCTGGAGAACATGGAATTGTGGTTTTCTCTTTGGGATCCATGATTTCAGACATTCCGGAAAAGAAAGCTATGGCCATTGCTGAGGGTTTGGGCAAAGTTCCTCAAACGGTGAGAGAACTCTGTATGACTCGTTCATATCTGTCTTCTTAGGAATTACAACCCCAGACTTTCTGCATCCAAATTAATTGCCTTAGTTGGAACTTTGCATTTGATGTCCCGTGCCACTTCCCAACTACTAATCCAAAGTTCTTCCCTTTATTATTTTTTTTACTTTAACTCTCAGCTACTCATCAGCCAAGGTCGACTTCACTCTGAAGTCTCATTTTCTCTGAGAGATCCTAAAATGTTAGGGAGAATATAGTTAAAAATAAATAAATACAATATTGTTTCTTCCTGTATTTAATGTCTCCAAAAAAGCTGTTCGATAGGACACTGAATGTGCTGTGCATGTTTCTGCTTATATATCTCTGCATTGAGTTGATTTATTAATTAAACTTTCCCTGGCAGTGTAGAAAAGTGAAAAAATTCTAAATGCACAGCTTGATGGCTTTTTGTATTGACATAGCAAGCACACCCTGATCGCTAAGCCTCTGGGACAAGATGCAGGATACCGCCAGCCCCAAAGTCCTTCTTAATGCTAAACCACCTGCTCTGGCAGAGTTACGTCCACTCTGTTCATTGGGAGGACTCATTCCAGAGGCTTAGATTTTAAAACATCATACCACGTTTTTTGTTAAATTGTGTTCTTTTTGTCCCTGCAAGGTCCTGTGGCGCTACACTGGAACTCCACCATCAAATCTTGCAAAGAATACGATCCTTGTGAAGTGGTTACCCCAGAATGATCTGCTTGGTATGTTGGGAGAATTTGATGTGTAGGTCAAACCAGGTTAAATAAAGAAATGGCTTAGGCAGAGCTAATCTAAAGGATACTTTAGCTTGACAATGCCATGGCCAGCAGGACTCACCTTACCTTTTATCTGAGGGCTATGGCTCTCTCTGCACGCTTCTGCCCAAGGGCCTTGTGGAGATAATGCTGAGCATTCCCGTGTTTGGCTAGAAGATTGGGCCACTTGACTGCCGCATCTCTCCCTGTTGTGCTTCTCAGGTCACCCAAAGACCCGGGCGTTTATCACACATTCTGGCTCCCACGGTATCTATGAAGGAATATGCAATGGTGTCCCCATGGTCATGATGCCCTTGTTTGGGGATCAGATGGACAATGCAAAGCGCATGGAGACACGGGGAGCTGGTGTGACCTTGAATGTCCTTGAAATGACTTCTGATGATTTAGCAAATGCTCTAAAAAAGGTCATCTATGACAAAAGGTAAGAGAAAAACTAAAGAAGAATACTACCTGTATTTTCCCCATCCCCTTCCTCCCTTCCTTCTCCTCTCCCTCCACTGCTCCTCCTTCATAAAGAACATTTAAGTGTGTGTGTTTTCTTAGTATTATAGAAACACATTACCCTACCAAGTCAGAAAAGTTGATCACCACCCTAGCTGGAAGGAGGCATAAGGGGTGGATTGTGCATTGTGTGGGGTCCCAGGCATTCACATAACTGTCTTGGTGCTTAGCTACAAGGAGAACATCCTGCGCCTCTCCACCCTGCACAAGGACCGACCCATAGAGCCACTGGACCTGGCTGTGTTCTGGGTGGAATTCGTGATGAGGCACAAGGGGGCGCCACACCTGCGCCCTGCAGCCCACGACCTCACCTGGTACCAGTACCACTCCTTGGACGTGATCGGCTTCCTCCTGGCCATTACGCTGTCTGTGTCCTTCATCACCCTCAAGTGTTGCGCCTATGGCTTCCGGAAATGCTTTGGGAAAAAGGAGCATGTGAAGAAAACCCCAAAATCCAAGACACATTGAGAAGTGGGTTGGGAGAAAGGAGAAAATCTAATCCATTCTCTAATCAAATGCACACTTGAAAACAGAGTTAATGTGAAATTCTCTTTACTCTCATTAAAGAAATCCCTTAGGAAATCTTAGACAACCTTGAAATATTTTTTAATAAAAATAATTGAATCACTGGTTACCTCTATAGTCAAAGGTATTTGAATATGTATTCTACCTCCCCAGGATCTTGAGTCTGTGCTGTCCTTGTTGTTTGTCAAATGACTTACAGAGGGCAATATTTTTCTTACTCAGAAAAGTTACCTGTTTGGGAGTACAGGATTCAGAGGTGGGCCCAGGGTGGTTTAAGGTCACGATTTCTGTAGCCTCCTGTTGTTAGTGCCTCAGCAGTGATGGTTGGTCCCTCTTACTGTCATGCTTCATAGGTGTCACTCTGTGTGTTTAGAGAAGGAAACCTTTTGTACCTTTAGGGTATCAACAAATGGCTTGGAATCCTTGAAAACAACATCATTTCCAACTTTGGGGGGAAAATTGATGGGTGATGGTAATAACTGATTGTGTCAACTGGATTGGAATTTGATAAGAACCGAAGTATCAGGCTGGGGGAGTATTTTTTTTAATGTTTCCCATAAGTACAATTTTATTAATACATGCAAATAAATTATATTTTGGAGGTGTTTTCCTCATCATGGGTATTGCATTTATTTACATATTATTACACTGCATATTCTAATTATGAAAGTAATATGTGATGATTACAGGAAATGCGAGAAGTCTAGAGGTTCGCACATATGTGCACATACATTGAACGCATGCGCATGCACACTTGCGCACACATGCACACACACACACACACACACACACACACACACGAAAACTCACCAGTAGTTACATCGCCCCGAAACAACCACTGTCGCTAGTATGATTTCGATCTTGGGTGTCACTCAAAAGCCCATGTGCTGAAGGCTTGGTCCCCAGCCCAGGGGACCAGTGGGAGGCAGTGGAGCCCTTAGGTGATGGGGCCTACTGGGAAGAAGTTATGCCACCAGGCTTGGCCCTGAGGGGACACTGGGACTCTGGCTCCTTCCTGTCTCTCTCTGCTTCCCAGACAACAAGTGGTTAGCAGCCTCTACTGCCCCCTACTCCTGCAGTGTGCTGCCTTGACACCAGCCAAAAATAAGAGGGCCAAGTGATCATGGCTGAAACCTTTGATTTCTAACAGGTATTTGCTATGCTTAGGGAAATCTTGTGAACACAGCTACTATTTTTGAAAGTACATATACTTATAAAATACTGTAGACTTCATGTATGTGTGTGTGGGGGGCGTTGCGCATCTGTAATTTCAGCTCTCAGAAAGGCTGAGGCTTGAGGATTGCAAGTTTGAGTCCAGCCTGGAAACTTAGTGTTTTAATGAGACTGTCCCAAAATAAGAGATAAAAAAGGGCTGGAGAGGTAGCTCAGTGTGAAGACCTTGGGTTCAATCCTCAGTAACACACACATACACACAAACACACACATACACAAATTGCATTACTACAGCAAAATGCTTTAGGCAAGTAACTTGTAAAGAGAAAAAGTTTATTTAGCTCACAGGCTTAGAGGCTCAAAGGCATGGTGCCTGCACTTGCTCAGTTCTGGTAAAGTGGCAACAGGTGGCTCCTCATGGTAGGAGCCTATGTAAGAGCAAACAAGGGATCATATCTTGACTTGTGTGTCTGGGGCACGGGGGGTCCTGATTTCCAATTTAAAGCATTTGTCTTCTTTCTATTGACATTCATCTCCATAGCAACCACACCCTCCTTGGCCACACCCTTGCATTTTTTTACTTTCTTCTTGACCACGTTTCGAATGTTGTATCTTTGTGTTCTGCTCCCTTTTGTTCCTGATTCCCACTGTAAATGTGGCTAAAAGCAGACAGTGACATCCATTCCATAGTCTGAAGGATTTGCTATTTTGAGATTTTTCTCCAGTAAGGTCAGCCATGCCCAGAGTCTCCGGGAATGGGCACAATGGAGCCAAATTCTTGGCCATGGTGTAGCAAAAGCAGTCTTTTCTCCAGGTCACCAGTGAGATCCTCATTTCCACCTGAAACATCCATGTAGCCTTCCTGTCCTCATTTCTACGAGTGTTCTGGCCATCTGAGCCCCCATTAGAGTCATCTATAGTGCTCTGTAGACAGTACTTTCAGTTTCCCCTCCCAGCTCCTCCAAACCCATCCCACCTTTTCCCATTAACCAGTTCTAAAGGTTCCCCACATCTTTATATATAATCATAGCTAGCCAGCTTCACATCACTACACTGGAATGCCTGAGGCAAGTAACTCGAAGACGGAAAAGGTTTATTTAGCTCTTGCATTTAAACTCACAGGATCCTACAAATACAGTGTTTACTTTTTTCCCAGAAAAGCAGACATGGAAGCTCAATAGAATGATGCCACCTAAAAGAGGTCAGCTTTGTGAATGGGTTGCATGTGAGTCCAACATTGCTGTCATAATCAGAGAAAAGTAAAAGCATTTTCACTTTGGGAAACCAGTAAGAGCCCACTTTCTCGTTAATCTTATTGTCCCAGTGGTTTCTCTAAGTGATATGGTCAAGGACATTGAACTTTTTGCCATGGCTTATACTATATTCTCACTCTGCCTGCAATGTATAAAAATAGCCCCTTTCTCCACCCATCAGATGACCATGTTCTTCCTCATGGGATTTTGCTGCTCTTCCCTTCAAGAGGAGGCATCAATTTCCCCACCCTTTGAGTCCTGGTTGGCCCGTGACTTGCCTTGGCCAATAATAGCAGAAGCAAGCAATGGATCCTGGTTCTGAGTTGAGGCCCTAGGAAGCCCTCAGGTATCAATACCCCGTCCTGGAATCCTGCTGCCTGGAGCCTCGGTCACCTTGTCACTTCAGCTAACAGTTTGCCAGCAGCTAGCCCTCAGCTGGTTGACCATAGGCACATGAGTAACTCCTGTGGTGGTTGGCTGGTTATGATCCAAGTCAGCAGAACCACACACAGCTAATCCATGCACTAGTGAACAGTAATCACTGCTTGTTTTCAGTCTTGAAGTCCAGGGGTGGTTTGTTACACAGCAATTGCTAACTGACACATTCACTTCTAGCTCTAAATCCATGATATTTCATGTGATGAATCTAAAGACCCACAGAGGACACAGATGTGACCAAGCCACACTGTATGCCCCACAAACATGGAGAGCCATGCCTAGCTGCGCACAATAGGCATGCAATGGGTGTATGTAGAATTCCTCTGAACTATAACCATGCAACTTGAGCAAGCCCTGCAAGAGACAAGAAGGCCCAGTGGGGAGTGGGATGCAACAGTGCAGAGAGTCTGTGAAAGAAGAGGTAATTGTCTTCCTGTGTCTATGCTGTGTTTATCAATGGGGTCTCCAAAGGGGTCTCCAGAACTAGAAATGATACAGGACTTTAGTGTGAAAGGTTTTTGCTTCGTCTGATGGACAGGAAGTTTATTTCCTAAGTACCCAAATTCCATGAATGGGCTGCTACTGAAGGGAACAAATTTCCTAGTGTTTGAAGTGACCACACAGAGGCTGAAGAACTCCAGCTTTGCAGGACAGGCAGATTTTAAGTGGAAGTTCTACCACAGGAGCTGTGGACAGACATGGCTCTGAAGCCCATTCTGCTGGCCCATAACGCTCAGAAAGGTTTTCCAAGGGCTCATATTTCATTCTGCAAACTCCTGATCTGGATTCTGTCTTGGCTGCAGATGATAGGGAAATACTTTGGGTCCTACTTTTGTTCGGGGAAGCAAGGCTCCTGCTCTCTTTGTGGTTCTTTATCTTCTCAGTGTTCTCCACACCACACATATGCAATCCTTGGCAAGGACAGTCCTTTCT